ATAATTGCGTTATATATCTGTTACATTATTTTGTTATAAGCTGAAGATAACATTATAATAATAATATAACAGTAATGTAACACGTTATATAACAGTAATTACATTCATATTACATTGATCATGGACGTAAGAATATATGAACGGAGCATAGTGCTGTGAGGGTGGTCCATGAAGGGTGAGGAGAAAGAAATGTCTATTATAACGGATATGAGAAACTAAGATGGCGACAGTTGCTAGTATCACGGAATGTTATATATTTCAACATCTTAAAAGAAATAAAGCTTTTTCACTCAAAAGGCTCGTCTACATTAGCTGTAAGAGTAAGGCTGTAAGGCTGTAACGTAAGCTGTCAGTGAATGAAAATATTTCATTTCGTGCCTTGCAACCTTACAGCCTTACTCTTACAGCTATTATAGACGAGCCTTTTGAGTGAAAAAGCTTTATTTCTTTTAAGATGTTGAAATATATAACATTCCGTGATATTAGCAACTGTCGCCATCTTAGTCTCTCATATCCGTTATAATAGACATTTCTTTCTCCTCACCCTTCATGGACCACCCTCACAGCACTATGCTCCGTTCATATATTCTTACGTCCATGATCAATGTAATATGAATGTAATTACTGTTATATAACGTGTTACATTACTGTTATATTATTATTATAGTAAACACAGTTATATAACAGTTACATTGTCGTAATGTAACGAAATGTAACACGTAATATAACGTGTACGTTACAAACAATATACATGTTAGTTGTAACTTCCCACTCATAGAAAGTTGCAGTTATATAACAAAAATATCACATGTTACTTAAAATATTATATAACTGTAATATTATTGTTAAGTAAAAAATTTACTCCTAATTTTCTCGCGTCTTGCGTCCGTAAGATAGCTTCGATTCCAAGCGGTCACCCCTCCATGTACTGACCATGCAATTAGGCTTTGCTTAACCTGACAGTCGAGTAGCACGCAGTTATCCCAATGACTCCAACGATGTTCTTATGACTTGTGCTTATATAATGTGTCCTTATAGTATTCACAGAATATTATACCTTTCATGTCAAAAATTAAAACAACGCAACAACATTCGATATACGACAAATATCAGTATAGACTATGTTTCAAAATTACTAATAATGGAATAATAGAGTATTATAATGGTTAACCCACAAAAGAAATAGTTTGAAACAAATTCAAGGAAGTTTAAATAAAAAATTTTTATTACTAAATCTAAAAGAACTTTTGAGAAACATTGCCTAAAATCTTGTTTTTTATCAACATGGTTTTCTTCAATGAAATAGAATTTTTATTTTTAAAAATAATATTGTAAAAATATATTTTAATAAAACAACTCAAAATCGAACAAGTAAGAATATTAAACTTAAGGAAATTTTTCTCTATGTGAGTTTTGTATAATATACAAGTGTTCTTAAACATTTAAATAGTATAAGTGCGGATATCTGCACGAAAATAGGAACGTTGTGTCCACGTGAAATCCGTGTGGTTTTGTAGATTCCACGTGAATGCAACAAATGTATTCCACGTGGATTCGATGTACTTTTTGGTAGGGATACATATCAGTATGCATATAAACATCAATATAAATAGGCAATATGATCTACTTAAGCGCGATGAAGGCATTACAAATACATGATAACATAGAACTACAAAATAAAGCAACTACAAAAAAGCGGAACAGAATTTCTGATTGATTAGCTTTCCACCATTTCTTTTATTTGTTACTGTTCCGCTTTGCTATTTCTTTCTCTATCGGAATACATCTTATTCGCAACAGAAAGCATTTGCAGCTTTTAATGGATTGCATGAATAGTTGTGTTGTATAACATCAATATAACATCGAGTATAACATCAATGTAATATGGACGTAATTACTGTTATATAACGTGTTACATTACTGTTATATTATTATAATGTTATCTCTAGCTTATAACAAAACAGTGTAACAGATATATAACACAATTATATTACAACTATGAAACCAAATTATATAACCTCAATATAACTAGAGTATAACATATATTATATTACATGTTACTCCTATGTTATATAATAATTATATTCTGTACTTGCTGGGTCCCATTTGGGAATTACATTCATTTGAGAGTATCCTCATTTGATGATTCTTTTCGTGGTTAAATTTCATTTGCGTGTTGACACCAATTGAAGATCCGAATTTACCCTTATTTGTTGAGGGTTTGTTTGAGGATATTTTTACACCCAATATTAGGTGTTTTTTCATGAGGGTAGATTGTAGCAAATATGAGATCTACATAAAATTAGAAAATATGTGATTTATTCATGGGAAATTAAATTATGCAACAAACTATTGAATAGAATAGGTTGTATAATTATTGAAGCAAAACACTAATCATTTGAATAAATTTTCTTTACAGCAACATATTTAATATAAAATATAATACAAAGTTTATAGGGTTATCTATTATTAAATCGTTACAATTATGTTTTAATTGAAGTTTTTTTATCTTACTTGAAGTAGCACGACATGCATCTTCTGGAGACAACATTACATCATATATTTGATCATTTTCTTTATCGTATAAAGAAATTTTCTCCATTTTAATGTGTTGTAAACACAATACAATTGTACATTCCACAAATACTAACTTAACCTAACACTTTTACTTATAAAAAGCGCGCAAAACAGTGTATTATGAGTAAATGTCACTGAAATATATATTAATTGGAACGAGCGTTGGCGTACGATTCTATTGTTTGCATGCGAATAGAGAGAAAGGTTCCCTGTGGTGCGATTCTTTAACTCGTTATTGGAGTTAACGACAGTTTCGTTATCGTTACGCAACTTTTCTACGGTATACAAAAGCTGCGCAATGATAACGAAAGTGTCGTTAACTCCAATAACGAGTTAAAGAATCGCGCCGCTGGTTCCTCTCTTATCCTTGTCTGGCCTATAGTGACGTCAAGAGTGGGGATAAGGAGGTATAGTCAAGAAGAAGTTAGTCGCTGAAAGTAAAGAGTGAAAGAGTGAAAGAAGAGCGAGAAATTATAAAAGTTATAAAAAGATTGTTGATAGAAAATGAAAAAATATAGCATTTGCAACGTCAAACGAACCCTGCTTATAGATATGTATATAGAAACCAATTTAGCTTTTGATTCGGACTGTACTAGATAAAGACACAGTAGTATTTTAGAGACTCAGTGACTCTTTCTCTCTCTCTCTCTCTCTCTCTCTCTCTCTCTCTCTCTATTCGTGCCTCAGGCCTAGCGCTCGTTCCAGTATAGACGCAGCTCGCGCTGACCGTCGCGCAGCGTCAAAGCATTAAGACGCCATCGCGACAGTCAGCGCGAGACGCGTTATCGCTCAAGCCCCTACGCACACAGCTTGCCGTGGAGCGTCTATAGGCCGCGATAGGCTTGGAAAACGTCAAACTTTATGCGGTTATTACTAAAAAACTATTACGATTTTCACATTATGGTACAGGACTTTTTTGTTCTTCTCACTTAGTTCTATGTCCTTACGGAGCCCGTGTCCCAAAGTTCTGAGACACCCTGTATATTTCAGTGGTAAATGCTCACGTTGACCCACCTCTTCAGTGCGAGCATTGTGAGCGTCATGTGAACGATCTAAAGTTGTTCACTATTACATGCCGTGAACGCTCACGAGCGCTAAAGCCAACGGCACACGGTGCTTGTTTTCGTGCTGGATTGCTTGCTGGATGAAAATACTGCGTTCTGATTGGTGCATTTCCATCTATCTTCGGAAAAGTACCAATCAGAACGCAGTATTTTCATCCAGCAAGCACGAAAACAAGTACCGTGAGCCGCTGGCTTATGTACCTTTTTTTGGTTAATTGAAGATATTTATGCGATCATATGTAAAATTGAATTCTAAATCATAATATAAATATCTTCAATTAACTAGAACATGTATATAGTAGGTTTTCCCATGATAGCAACAATATATTTTTACTTACTATATCATCCATTATATCCATTATGTCTATACTATTTTTTATATAATTCGATATGATTTATCGTATCCAAAAGTTGGATTCAAATGAACTTTTTCGTACAATGAGAATTATTGGTGTTATCACGTAAAGTCCCTAGAAAACTCTCTCTATATTTTCTCTATATTCATTGCCAGTGTAGTCTATCTTCGTTCATCTTTTTATAAACAATAAGGACAGAATAATGTTGCTAATACTGGCAATATATTGGACGTCGGACGTCGTACGTCGGACATCGGACGTAGTGTGAATCCTCCATTATATTTAAAGCTTCCTTAAGTTTATTTTCAGATGGTCTGTAGCCAATAAAATAATCCGTGCAGCATCTAAAGATGATATAAGAAAGCCTCAAATATAAGGCCTGACTATGAATACGGGTATAAGTGGAACGGCTTAAAGGGCGACACGATCGTCGTGGGTGTTAAATGGAACGCACCTCTTACATTCTTATAGGATGGATAAACTTAAAACGATCTAAAATATAAGATCCAATTATAGCCGGTATTCATAGTCGAGTCTTATATTTAAGATCGTCTTAAGTTCTCTTTCAGATATTCCGTAGCCAATGAAGTAATTTATATAGGCCGGTATTCATAATCGGATCTTAAATTTAAGACCGTCTTAAGTTTATTTTCAGATGCTATACAAATCATTTCATTGGCTATGGGGTATCTGAAAATGAACTTAAGACGGTCTTAAATATAAGACCTGACTATGAATACCGGCCATAGCATCTGAAGATAAACTCAAGACGATCTTAAATATAAGATTCGACTATGAATACCGGCCTATGAATTCGGCCTAGGTATATTATGTCTATGGTCGAGACGATCTTACGACCTATGCATATGCATCTATGTCATTTTGTGTGCGATGATCTTAACTACTTTATAAGCCGCTAGATGGCAACTTGGAAGATTTCTTTCGCGCAGTTAAAACTTGATACAATTCAATATATATAGAAGAGTATAAGCCTAGAAAAACCAAGATCATACTTCTCAGGATCATTTCTGTAGGAGTTGTTCTTACACCTCTTCCCTAACACGGAAGTAGATTCAACCACGATGAGGAGCAAAAGCTTTTTTTCCTGAGCGTGAGGACGACCGGCACTTCGTACGCGTTTACGAGAGTCCAGTCATCGATGATCGTTCAACCCTTTATATTATTTATAAAGGGCAGGGAAAAGAAGCATTCTGAGTGGTCTTTACGTATGAAATTCTTCAAAGTTAAGATTTTTTAAGTATGTTCGTATTACTTTTATCATTAATCATCTATATCAGAACTCAGCAAAACGTGCACGTGACGGGCCAATTTTCGACTATCTCCGCCCACCGCTATTCCCTTTACCTCGCCGCTCCGCGCTCTATAAGCCGCTCAAGCCTCAGGAGCGTGTTTCCAATAGTTTTCACGTCACCCATAAGGTGCTATTGTTGACGCGTTTTTTTTTAAAGCGGTATCCTCAGTAGGCCTCTTCATTTTTCAAAAATGAAGTTTATAAAAAATGAGAAGTGTTCTTCCTTAAGCGATGATTCCTTGCCATGTCATGCGGCTCGCTACTTTGGATGCAATATCCAAATTGACGTTTCCACTCTTACCAATAAAAGACGCCGAAAATCGAATTGAATATTCTTCATTTAACATATTTTATTTCGCTTCTGTTCAATTAGTTACGGGTTGTTACAGTCATCAGTGAATTAGGCTTACTGGGGATACCACTTAAAAAAAAACGCGTTAATAATAGTACCTCATGGGTGACGTAGAAAACTATTGGAAACAACGCTCCTGAGACTCGAGCGGCTTGTGAGCAGCGCGCGGAGCGGCGAGGTAAAGGGAATAGCGGTGGGCGAAGATAGTCGAAAATCGGCTGTCGCGTACACATTTTGCCGAGCTCTGATCTATATGTTTAATCAAATTCTAATAACCTTTGATGTTACATAGACACACTTTATTAAATCAAAAGATATCTCTAATTTTGCGTCTCGTTAAACTTGTTGTCTGTTAGGCATCTCGTTGGTTTTTGAAGAACAACTTTTATCGAGATTTGTACACAAGACTATACATAGAAAATATTTTGAGCAGAGAGGTACGCTTATAATTCCTCCTGTCTATATCGCAAGCAGTATTCGTGCATTTGTCATCACCAAAATAGTATAGGATAACAAAATATTTCTGTAAACTTTACAATCAAGCTATTTTTGTAATGAGCACACAGTTTCAGTTTGTAAGAACTGTACTAATTGAATGTAATATTTAGTTTACTATTTTAAAATATCCCCTTAAAGTTCCTCATATCTTTTATGTGTAAGGATTTTATAGATAAATAAAATTTTAATTATAAAAAAATATGTATTTTATTTCGTAGTTTAACAGACGAAGAATTAGTAACTACTACATTACTCAAATTCATAAGTTATTGATCTAGAGTTAATAAACATGATTTAATGTGAACAAAGTCTTGTTATTCGATTATTGTCCATCATAATCGATAGTTAGAACATTCCAATCGTAGCTGCTACCACAATTTCAATAGTTATGAAACTCAATCTTCGAGTAAGGGCCGATTTGAAATATTATGTAACAAACTGGAAAAAACAAGAATATTATCATAAAAAACACAATATCAACTTGTACAAAGCAAAGGTAAATCATTTCTAAATAATATCCATATATATATATATATATGTATATATGTGTGTGTGTGTGTGTGTGTGTGTGTGTGTGTGTGTGTGTGTGTGTGTGTGTGTGTGTGTGTGTGGTGTGTGTGTGTGTGTGTGTGTGTGTGTGTGTGTGTGTGTGTGTGTGTGTGTGTGTGTGTGGTGTGTGTGTGTGTGTGTGTGTGTGTGTGTGTGTGTGTGTGTGTGTGTATATGTATATATGTATATATATATATGTATGTATGTATATATATTTGCTACAATGTTGCAACATTGCGTATTGCAGTACAATATTGTAAAGACATCCCTTACGAAAAAAAAACGCTCAAGTATTGAATGTTTATACTCAATTGTTCGAATTTATCCTCAAATATACCCAAATGAGTACATATAAATTTGAGTGTATATATTCATATTTGAGGGTAAATTCGAATAATTGAGTATAGATATTTAATATTGGAGTATTTTTTCCGTAAGGAATATATATTCAGCAAACATAATGTAATATATATTTGTTAATTATAATTTCCTACTCAATAATATAACTGTTATATATTATATAACGTTTACATTATATAACAATTACATTATTGAGTAAAAATTTACAGGTATGTTACATGTTACATTATGTTTATTGGGTATATATATATATATATATTGGGTATATACAAGGTGTCCCATTTTAATGTCCCACCCTAAATAACTCTTCAGTATTGATTTATACAGTACAGATTCAGTTTTCCTCAAATATCTAAAAAAATATTAAACAAATAAAAAAATGTTTTAGACAAAAGTTGTTCAAATTAACTAGTAGAAAAAAAGTGTGATAAAAAATAAGGGTTCCCATTTAAAAAAATGCAAGTTGACCTTCAAATGATCTTGAAAATAGAAGTCATAGAGTAGCTCACTTAAATCCCTGCAACTTTTATTCAGATCATTTTCCTTGAAACTTCAATACTGAACTTACTGATTTTTGGAAATTTCAAATCATCAAATTAACAAAAATCAGGGTGCTATTGTAACAATATATTCTTCAGACTAAATAAAGCAAGAAAGTCTAGTACCACTTTTTCTTCCGACAAATAGCGAGATATCGTAAGTTAAACATTGAAAAAGTTATCAAATTTTCCTCGTATCTCGAAAAATATTAGACAAATAAAAAAATGTTTTAGACAAAAGTTGTTCAAATTAACTAGTAGGAAAAACAGTGTAATAAAAAATAAGGGTTCCCATTTTAAAAACGCAAGTTAACCTTCAAATGACCTTGAAAATAGAGGTCAAGGTCAAAGTCAAGGTCATCATAAGATAGCTCACTTAAATCTCTGCAACTTTTATTCAGATCATTTTTCTTGAAACTTCAATACTAAAGAGTTATTTGGGATGGGACATTAAAATGGGACATCCTATATACATGGGTATATATATATATATATATATATATATATATATATATATATATTTATATATGCATATATGCATATGTATATCTCTACAATATTACTACATTACAATATATCATATTGCAACATTGTAACAATATTGTTACAATTGCCTGTTATATAGGTGTAGTCTTCTTTATTTCAGTTTCTTATATAGTCTAATGAGTGACACTAAATACGCGCAGAGTATAGAAATCGCTAAATTTCATTTCATAGAGATCTATCAATATGCTGAACTAAAAATTTACCGAACATATTATAAAAGGGAATAAATTTAGTAATTTTTCTAAAAGGAATAAAAGACAAGTCTTTAACTGCCTTACATATATTTTACGAATCCTATTAACATATAAAGATATTTATTAATAAGTTTTGCTAATTGTCCATGAATTAACGACAAAACTTAAAAATTATAGATATGTAATAACAAAATCTTAACATTTCATTCATTTTTCATTATTTTTATAGGTACCATCGATAGCGGAGTGGTTAATGCATGAATTTCAAAATCAGACAGAAGTGCGTATCGGTGCTAATCCAAAATTGATACCTGCATCCATATGGCAGACATGGAAAGACGATTTGGGTAAGGAGTTTTTCGATTAACATTACATGCAATATTTTTCCTATCTAATAATATAATTTACATAAAAGAAATTGCGCTTATTGTTATATTCAGAAAACCGTTGTTTATAAAATAGATGCATACTTCAGCTCTTCTTTAAAGTTTCGAAGCAGATTCAACTATCATGACGAATCCAAGTAGATTTTCTTCATTACGCAACTAACAATCCTGTTCATGTTTAGAAAATTCACCCGTAAGATTGGTCGCAATCGGTAACGACCTGGTGGACTTGATCTGGCAGGTGGGTCGGCCTGAGTACAATCCGCATGCAGCATATCCGCTAACAGATGAATATTCGGGCAAACCATGGCAGGAGAAGATCCAACGTATTCGGCTGGAAATGGTACTTGAGTCGGCCGATGCACTCGTCGTCACCGCTCTGGACGAGATATCATGGCTTTTCAACATCCGCGGCTACGATCTGCCACACACGCCTGTTCTGAGGTCTTACGCAATTATCACTCACGGATCTGTGCATCTTTATGTATCTCGACAAAAGATCTTACGGGCTATTGATATACACTTGAAGACCGATTCCTGCTATCATAAGAACTGCGTCAAGTGAGTGATATAAATTAAAACTTTCAGGATAGTCTCTTCGTCCAACATTATATTAATCTTGAAAAGTGAAATAAAAAATATATGTATAGTGATTCATAATAAAAGTAAACAGATTCGAAAAGTGACTAATTAGTATTATTACAGGTGGCATAATTACACATCTATTTGGCATGATTTGAGGACCATGTCTCAAGCTTGGAATACTATCTGGCTTCCATCACCTTGCTGCTATACGTTGGGTGCATCTAAAGAAATATACAATTCCGTAAGTATAATTCTATTTTTAAATTAATAAGATATAATATGGATCTAATTAGTTTTTATTGAAAGAGAAATTGAACAAAGATTAAATAAAGATATATGAATATAGCTAACATATAAAATGTATATATATACATCTTCCCAGATCCCATCAGAGAAAAGAATGGCTAAACCTTCACCCATAATTGATCTACGAGCAGAGAAGAATAAAATTGAAGCGGCAGGTATGAGAAAATCTCATCTAAAAGACGCAATAGCAATGTGCGATTTCCTGGCTTACATGGAAGAACAATACGAATTTGACTCCGAAGGATGGGACGAAATGCAAGTGGCCAGGGTAGCAAATGAATTCCGTTACGAGCAAGATGACAATAAAGGCATCTCTTTCCCAACGATTGTAGGATATGGACCGCATGGTGCTATGCCGCATTACGAACCGATTAATTTAACTAACATTAAAATCGGGACCACGTCCACTTTAGTGGTAGATTCCGGAGGACAATACTTAGGTATGAAATTTTGAAATTTTTAATTTTCTTCTACCAAAAAATAAAATTCAAATTTAAGACTTGAAAACTTGATAAATCCGAAAACTTGCAACTTTTTTTCACTTAAACTTTTTTTTAGTCTCTCTCTCTCTCTCTCTCTCTCTCTCTTTCGCTCGCATTTTTTTCACTGGTTAAATAATAAAGATATAAAAAGGAAATAACGTCAAATTATTTGGTAGATGGTACCACCGATGTAACCAGAACTCTTCATTTCGGCGATCCGACTGATGAGCAGAAGAAAGCCTATACGAGAGTATTAATAGGTTCAATTCAATTGTCATCTCTGGTTTTTCCCAATGGTCTAACGACAGGCCAATTGGATACTGTCGCACGGGAACCATTATGGAACATCGGTTACGATTATATGCATGGGACTGGTCATGGAATCGGCCACTTCTCTTCAGTTCATGAATGTTCGTAATCGACAGTTTTCTTGTATAAATCCTTGCTTCGCGAAAAAGGATACGAAATGCAATCGATAAAAGCCATTTTAGTGGAACAATACACGTTGCAGCGCCTATCAGCGTGTCATATTTTGACATCAACAATTTAGTCACTGGATGTTCTATCAAGCTGATGCCAGGTTTTTTCCTATCCAATGAACCGGGATATTATAAAGAGGGCGATTTTGGGGTCCGTTTGGAGAATATAATTGAAGTGATCCCTGCTAACAAATCAGTACGTATTTAGTACACCTTTAATTATAGACTATATAATAATAATAGTAATATAATGACTATGATATTGCTAACTACTAATTGCTAATTATTAATTGTTCTAGACACATGGTAAACAACAATTTCTGAAATTCAGAGATGTTACTCTGGTTCCTTACGAACCGAAACTTATTGATGTCGATATGTTAACTCCATTGCACGTAAGTTCTACTTACAATTTATTCCAAAACTTTTTTGAGTTTAATATTATTGCATTTCAATAATAAATGCCACTATTAATGCTTATATTATATACAGCGACGTTGGCTGAATAATTATAATAAACGCATACGGGAAGAAGTTGGTACAGAGTTGAAGAAAAGATTGAAAATGAAAGCATTTTACTGGATGATGTTGAAGACTGCAACCATTCCAGAAATAAGTTCAAACAGTCAAAGCTTTTTTACTGATTATTCTCATTCGACGCCGTCCGCCTCCAGGCCATTCCATATTTTAGTCGCAATCATTGCCGCTTATCATGCTATAGAAAGTAAATAATATTCAAAGTATATTTCTTTCATAAAAATTATTTATCGATGTTAGAATAACACATTGACTTTCTTTTGCAGATTTCACGAAAATGCACATCTAATCTAAAAAGCAGATTGTTGACATTGATTATCAAATATTTTAAAAAATATACATAGTTTTTTTATTGTAATATACACCATTTCCAAATGTCAACATAGATTAGTATATACTTAATTTAAAATTAAGAGTGAAACAGAAATAACATTTAATAAATTATTTTTCTATACATATGTTATTATTTCTATACATAACTTAATTTGAAGAGTGAAACAGAGAAATAACATTTAATAAATTATTTTTCTATACATATGTTATTATTTCTATACATATTATATATATTGTATATATGTATTACTTTCCTCAATTTATTCTTTAAGCTTCTTTGCTTTCTGATATTTTTCATACGATTGATCCAGGATAACTTGAAATGGATCTGATAAAGGTTCATCTGGTGCATCTGGTACAATACTAACATAAATTTTAAAATGTTTCAATACATCATCTGAAAAGATTCAAGTATTTAGTAAATGTTAATATTAAATTGAATTCATTAAAAATAAATAAAGTTATATGTACCTATTACTTCTTTATCTATTTTATGTTCAACAGCTATATTTTCACTATTATATTTAATAGGATCTGTTTTATGCTGAGAAATAAATGTGAGAGCTTGGTTCAATGTACATTTCCCTTCAGGTATTACTGCAGGCTCATAGTAATCCAAGTTAAGATCACTTATATTGTATCTATTCTGAGGTAAAAGTTTTGACTCTGTTTCTGGTTTTACCTTTATAAAATATTATAAAAATTAAGTTAAATAATATACACAAAAAATAATATACGAAATATTTTAATATTTTTCCTTATAATAGTAAATAAACTAAAAAATTGATAACAAGAAAAAACCTAAAAAATTCTTTTAAAATATCACAACATAGCTAGTAAATTAAAGCAATAAAACTTATTTTAACATTCTGATATTTTATAAAACCTAATTTATGTTAATTCCCAAAAATATATGTAATAATTTGCTGAATCTAATAAAATATAATATGTTTAGCCTAAAAATACAAAAATAAAGAATATATACTTGTGGATCTATTGATGTTATAAAGACATCCTTTAATCGTTGGTCTAACTGCATATTTTTCTGATAATGTTTTTCCCAGAATCCTGGATGTACTAAAAATAAAGATAAAATATTAAGGAAAAAACAACCAGGAAAGAGAATAGAAGAGTACATAATTGTCATTTTTAAATTAGAGAACTTTTTTAATTAATTATATTAATTAATTTATATTATATTTAATTTATATTATATTATATTAATATAATTATATTAATTAATTAATTATAAAAACTACAATGATTGTTTTAATACACTACTACTATTTTCAACCATTTGCATATTTATATACACATTAAAAATTAAATTAACATTATAACAATACTGCGTTAAAAGTATCAAGGCCAGTCTCTATCCATTGCTGCATTTGACCTTACATGTTGATCTCATATTACCTTTATCCATCAACTTCTTTTGTTTTTCAGTAGATGCATATTGTGGAGCGGGAATTGGTTTTTTTTGCGAAATAATTGCTTCCGCACGGTTTGCAATATTGAACGTGCGAATAGGTCGCGTCAACTTTGAATAAAGAACTCCCATTATCAAAACAGCTTACTGAAAAATGAAATGTAATAAATATTAATATAAATTGACTTAACATTTCTATTAATTTTAACTGCAATGTATCTGACATGATTATAAAACTAAATATTACAATCAATAAGATATGATCATATAAAAATTTTTGGTAAATATGGAGACGGGTTACCGATTTACCTGAAACTTTGGAATATTGTATATTTTAATGCGCAAAACATAAATCTGAAAATTTAAAATGTCGCTCTTAAGTCTGAATATAAAAGTCTGCTGAATAAAAGAAATGCTGAAAAGTGATAGTTTTTAGGTTAAGAAATTTGTCATACCCATAGACCTTCCTTCCTCCCTTCAATAGATGGCTCTGGGCCCGTGGGAGTTAAGCCCCTACGCCATTCTCCTATACCATAGACATAAAGAGCCTGAAATCAAAGAGCCGCAAACTGCTCCACGTTTTTGATTGGCTGTACTATATGACGTCAGAATACGTCATGTTTGCGAAGAAAAATCGTACAGTTCGCTAGCTGTCTGCTAGATAAGAAGGTTGCGAGGTTATTTTACATTAAAATGTGAAGGCAGAAAAATAAGAGTGTGTCTATCAAAGAATACAAAGTAAATGGATTTTATATTAAATCTTTTGAAACATGTTTCTAATGTAAATACATTGTCTAAAAAACTTGCTGGAATTTGAATATAACCTTTTACAAACTTGTTTTATTGTATTTCCTTAAAGAGATTTGATGGCTATTTACTGTCGCATGAAACATTTATAAGAATAATTTCAAATTATGTAATTACTTTATTATTTTTGCAGTATTTGTAGTTATGTTGCGGTGTTTAAATATTGATTTGCATCATGGTACGAGTATGTAGTGCAAATAATTGTTCAAATAAGTATAGTACTGGGATAAAGTTCAGGAGGTGCCCTTGTATTCCTCATCTGCGGCAACAATGGTTAGAAAAATTAAACAGAAGTACTATGGGAAATGAATTTTATCTTGTGAATGCAATTATAAAATTATAAAATAGTTGTTTCCTTTAGAAAATATATATGTTTAGATGTTATGTCATAAGATTTTGTTTTATGGTTCTTATCTTATATTGTAGGAACATTTCAGCAGAGAAGATTTACAAACAAATACTCGAAGCCTTATTCCTATAATTTTTTGCAACTGCTCAAATACTTGTAGGAATGTCAAACCTTTGCAGGTCAATAATAAAACTTTTAATCCTTTAGAAGATCATCCAGGACTACCAAAACATCTACAGAATAGGAACAAAAAGACAAGTAATAAAGAGAATGAAAAACTTTGCATCAAAAGAGGACGTCCAAAAAAAGAAGTATACATAAGACACAATGTCCCATAGCCTTAAGAAGACAGATCGTTTCATCTTTGGTTCCTCGACCAACTGCGATAGAGTCCACTTCTCAAAGAAATGTATCTTCTAGCTATATGCATTGTAATAATCAGTCGAGTCATAATGTAACACATTGTGATATGAATATGAATGTGGACCTTAGTGAATGTAAAATACCTTCCAGCATTGTGCAATACGATAATCAGTCGAGTCATAATATAGGAGTAACATCTTGTGATACGAATATGAATAGAGACCTTGACGAATGTCAAGTACCTTCTAGCATTATGCACTGTGATAATCAGTCGAGTCATAAGATAGGAGTAACACATTGTAGTGCGAATATGAATGTGATTCTTAGAGAATGTAAGGTACCATTGATAGCAAGTAAGATGAATGAAGTCCAAACAAGAACTGATTTTAACCAAAGTATTAATAATAATAATCAAAGTACAAATAATAATACTGGTCTAAGTGCAATAGCGGAACTACGGGACTTTAGTCAAAGTAATAACATTCATACATTGACAAACTCCATATATGAAAATGTTGAACAATGTGGGAAATCTAAAAGTAATGTTAATTCAAAGAGTAGCATTGTGATAAGTACTACAAGATATAGCAGAAATTCGGAGTGTGAATCTATTAATAACAATATAATAGTGAGAAACATGACTGGATCTGATAGTTATATAATATTTGATAATACAATACCTGATAATACAATACCTGATAATTCTATAATAGAAGGAAGTCCCAGTCGTAATCCTAATATTGTAAACAGTTGTATGACATATAATACCAGTACCGTAGAATGTAAAAATTATTTTATTCAAAATTGTCGGAAACTTATGCTGAAACAATCCAAAATTCTATCTATTGATATTCAACCTACATTGAATCCATCTTTGAAACTTGATAGTATTTTACAGCAAAACCGTGTCCTGAAAAGAAAAGTTGACAGTTTACGTAAATTAGCTACATATTGGCAGAAAAAGTTATCATCTTTTAAGAACAAATTGTCTTCTCGCTTTGGGGAGGATCAGCTTAATGCTCTATGTTTGAGTTCGAGTCGCGGCAGTAAATGGACAAATAAGACATTACAAATCACTTTACAGTTGCATTTTGCATCTGGCACCACTGGATATCAATTACAGTCACAGCTACAAATGCCTTTGCCGTCTGTTCATCTTCTTCAATTTAAACTTCAACATGTACAGTTCTCGCCTGGTTTGTTGCATGACATTTTTAAGCTTCTTCATAAAAAAATAAGCTCAATGAAAACTATAAACAAAGACTGCGTTCTTATTTTTGACGAGATGGCAATTCAGAAGAAAATTGATTACAATGCAGGAACCAAGTCATACATAGGTTGGTATACTATACCAGGAGCAAAACCAAAAGTAACTTCACAGTTAAAGCTTCAATATCCTGATACAAGAGAGAAATGGCGGACTGAGGTATCCCTATCAATGCTAAAGGAAAAGGCAAGTAAAATCATGGTGTGGATCTTAGGAGGACTAGCTGTCCGGTGGAAACAACCAGTAGCCTATGATTTCACTGGAAATTCTTTTTTTTCTGAAGCAGTCAAAGATCGCTGTCTAGAAATTGTACGTGAGTCGTACAAAGTGGGAATAACAGTTCGTGTTCTGACTTGCGACATGGGTAATCGTAATGTATGGAAAGCCCTGGGAATAGAAGTGGGTCCGCAGATACTGAATAACAGCTTCTGCCATCCATGTGTTGAAGGTCAGAAAATGTTTGTTATGGCTGATGTTGTGCACGCTTTTAAAAATTTCAAAGAAATGCTGACAAACAATAAAGTTATACATCTTCCTGATCGAATTGTTGAAAAACAAGGTCTGCCTTCTTCAGCAGTAAAAGTGGCTCATATTTTTGCCCTAATTGATTATCAAAGTGGAGATATGTGGCGAATAACTCCAAAATTAAAGAGGAGTGATGTGCAATGCAATCATTTTGACAAGATGAAGTTAAATGTCGCGAGACGAGTCATTAATCATCGTACTGCTGCTAGCTTGTTTAATATCGCTTTTATGGAAGGAGGTGACCCTGAAATGGTTACAACAGCTTGGATGGTGCTATTAATGCATGAATGGTTCCGTTATGTCACTTGCAGATCCCTCTTATCTGCTTTAAGTAAAAGAAATACAGAGACTTATGAACAAGCTATTACTATTCTTAAACTGACAATGGATGTGTTCCAACATATGTATATATCAGGAGGTTGGAAACCTGTACAGACTGCAATTAAAATTTCGACTAAGACTATTTCAGATCTTGCTGAATTGTGCCTGAATGAACTTGGTTATGACTTTCTGTTTACTGGTCGACTTACTCAAGATATCATTGAAAATCTTTTCTCTGTCATAAGGTATCGCAGACCAACACCTACACCACTTCAAGTAACGCAACGGCTAAGACAAACTACTATTTCAATGCTTTTGAGGGAAGTACCTGGAAGTAGTTATGACTTTGAGACAGAGGGAGAAATACTTATTAATATCTTTGAAGAGTTGAAATTTGCTGCTTTGGATACTGCTTTGAATAACAATGGAGATTGGCCAAGAGACTTTATAATTCTACCTTTCACAGTACCACAAAAAGAAAATAAAGTGCTGTACAGAGTAGCAGGCTATGTGGTTCATCAAGTTTTTACAGTTACAAAGTTAGACTTAATTTGTTCTACATGTTCTTCAGCTGTACTTCATAAGGATCCTCAGGCTCATCCAGAAAGTGAATTTACTCGCCAAACAAACTATGCAAATTGTTCTCAAGTACAAGTTTCCGATGAAATTTTCACTCTGATCGTGAAAGCAGAAGAATGTTTTAGAGGTGTTGAGCACGTCATCACATCTGTCCGTAAAAATGCAGACATATTTTTGACAAATATAATGAAGGAGTTTCCAAATTTGTATGCTTCCGCTATACCAAAGTGTCACAATCTTGCAACAGCTATTCTGAAGAGATTCATTCAAATGCGACTAAAAATTTTCACTGGTCATGAAGAACGAAAAGAATCCGGTTCAGAATTTGGTAGTTTCAGCATGGGCTCGCGTTTGTTAGGCAAAAGCATATAAATAAAACTTTATTATTAGTCAGCAGAGACTTCCAACGATATTGAGTAAAGTAATTCTGTTTTTATTTTTAGTATGTTAGTCTAATTGTTGTCACAAGAAATTTCTATTGAATGCAATAACCCAGATAGAACACAGTGTTAGCAAAATATTTTAGAGATATAGATGTGAAATATATAAATATTGTAATGTCCGAGATTCTCAGATATGAAAAAGATTATAATAAATATCTAAAAATATTTAAGAAAACCATTTTTCATTAATATTTTTATGAAACAACTTATGACTTATAAATCGATTTATGAAACATATTTTGCAGACATATTTTTACATATTTATTATAATTGTTTTCATAGCAGAGAATGTTGAACATTACAATAACTATAAAATATTTGATCTATATTTCTAAAATATTTTGTAAATATTATGTGCTGTCTGGGAACCTACATTTTAGTAACAGCAATAATAATATAATGTAATTATTAAAAGATAATTATGTTCAATACAATTATTATAATTTATAATATAATTGTTATAATATATAATTATTATAACTGTTTTCAATAAAACTTATGTTCGTTCTCAAACGATTATGTAAATTTATTTCAATTTTATTTGAATAATCACACTAATACATTTACGAGATTCAGATATTAGTTTCGAACTTCGCGCGAAGGGACGCCATGTTTGCGAGGAAAAAGATTCCCCTGCCTAGCAGACAGTTTGCGGCTCTTTGATTTCAGGCTCTTTACATAGACATGGCAATAAGAAATGGACCAACCATAATCGATTATTCTTATAATAATCGGTTGTGGTTGATCTATTTCTTACTGCTTACGCTTAGAACCTTATTCTTGCAGCCATTGTAGATGGGCCTTAAGGACCACAGCACAGACTGTGTTCCGATATTTACTATCAGTACTGAAAATCTATAGTATACGTGACACAAACTATATATTTTCAATACTGGCAGTGAATATCGGAACTCAGCCACAGACTTCTGCATAACGCATAATATACACACATAAGAGAATCAGCCAATCAGAGTTCTTCATTTCTGTCCTGAGGAGGGAAATAAAGAAAGCTAAAGGCTCGTCTACATTAGCTGTAAGAGTAAAGCTGTAAGGTTGCAAGACACGAAATGAAATATTTTCATTCGCTGACAGCTTACGTTACAGCCTTACAGCCTTACTCTTACAGCTATTGTAGACGAGCCTTAAGGGCCATCACACGTAGAAAAATTTTAACCGTAACCGTAAGGTTGTAAGAAAACTGACCAATCACAGTCGATTATTATAATGTCACAAGAGAAAGGGTCGACTGTGATTGGTCAGTTTTCTTACAACCTTACGGTTACGGTTAAAATTTTTCTACGTGTGATGGCTTTAATTGGTTTATTCTCTTATGTGTTATGTGTTAAGGCCTATCTACAATGGCTGCAAGAATAAGGTTCTAAGAGTAAGCAGTAAGAAATAGACTAACCACAATCGATGATTATAAGAATAATCGATTATGGTTGGTCCATTTCTTACTGCTTACGCTTACAACCTTAAGGTCATTCTACAATACATGTCGTAGTTGTAAGCTGTAAGAACTGACCAATTATAGCCGATTATTTTTATAATAATCGACTGTGATTCGCCAATTCTTACGGCTTACAACTTACGACACGTATTGTAGATCAGGCCTTAAGGCCATTGCACATACAAAAGTTTTAGTCGTAACCGTAAGTCCGTAAGCAAATTGACCAATCACAATTCGTATATTTCGAGATGCTAGATTGTGATTGGTCAATTTGTTTACGGTCTGAAGGCTCGTCTACAATAGCTATAAGAGTAAGGCTGTAAAGCTGTAACGTAAGCTGTCAGCGAATGAAAATATTTCATTTCGTGTCTTGCAACCTTACAGCCTTACTCTTACAGCTAATGTAGACGAGCCTTTACTGTTCACGCTTAAAGCCAGCGGCACACAGTGCTTGTTTTCACGCTGGATTGCTTGCTGGATGAAAACACTGCGTTCTGATTGGTGCATTTCCATCCATCTTCGGAAATGTACCAATCAGAACGCAGTATTTTCATCCAGCAAGCAATCCAGCACGAAAACAAGCACCGTGTGCTGCTGGCTTAAGGCTGCGTTCCGATATTCACTGCTAGTACTGAAAATCTATAATATATGTGACATAAAGTATATATTTTTAATATTGGCAGTGAATATCGGAATGCAGCCTAAACTAAACCAGTTCCAGGCAGCACTAGTTCAGCTGAAAAAACAGATCTAAATAAATCTTTTATAATATATTTATTGAATATTGGATTCCAAGTTTTGAAAGGGTAAAAATGAGTAAAAATGTGCGTAAAATGGTTCCAGGTGATGGCCTCCGATCATTACGAAGTACTATGTTATTTCGTGCAGTCAATTATGAATTATATATTAAGCCGGTAAGGTTATAATAATGTTGAATATAGCTATAAAATTGATCGAGAAGAATTTTGTTAAAGCTAACTTTTCATTTTACCTGCAGAACAGAGCTATCATGATTTTCGGTATTATAACAATGTTGGGTTGTTCAGGATATATGTTTTACATGAATCGCAATCATAAAAGGAACAGTTATGAAGCTATGGTTAAATCAGACAATACAGTAGTATTAGTAAGGAAAGAGTCTAAATGGACAGACTGAATAAGAAATTCTAATGACCAGTTTGTTACAACATTTTGTAACTAATTATTTTAAGCAAATTCTAATATACATATATCTTATGTAAGTCTGATAAGTCTAACATAATTGTACATTATACTTTAATGTTGTATCAACAAATTATTTGTTTTTATATATTTAATTTATATAGAGATTTATATAGAGAGAGAAAATTTTATTTATAACAATTAAATTTTCATATAATAACTATGGTTTGATAGAATTTGAATAAATATATTTCAAATGCCCAGCAAACACAATGTAACATGTAACATACCGTGATAATTGTAATATTCTACTCAATTATATAAAAATAATGTTATATAATGCACATATTATATAACAGTAACATTGTTGAGTAGGAAATTACAACTAATAGGTATGTTATATAAATAAAATAAATTTAATATTGCGTTTGTTAAGTAAATTTAATATAAATTAAATATATATTTTGAGATAAAATTTTTATCTAAATTTTATTTACTGAATCACAATTTATAATACATTATGTAATAAAAATGATACTTCCTGTTAAAATTATTTATCCTGTTGATATTGTTAACATTATTGTTAATATTATTTTTCATACTTTGCCTAACATTATATTATAAAAACTGTAGAAATTAATAAATACATATACAGTATGTTTGATTTAAGTAGATATATTTAATTATGTCTTAGAAAATTAGATACAAAAAAATTGTTTAAAACATCCACTTAAATCAGACATATATACTATATAAGCATATATAATATGTGAATATATAATCCAAAAATTTAGATTCTTTTACAATATATCAATATATATATTTGTTATACAATATATATATCAATATATATATTTGTTTATACTTATTTAAATTGGAAATTTAACATATTAACACAGAATGTTCCTCTATAATTATTATTTTATCGTATGACTATTCTATGTTAATCTTAGTTTGTGATTAATATAGAAACTGATCTTGATTTATTAACAAAATTATTATTTCATACATATACAGGATAAGCCAAAAATCTATTGGATGAGTGCAAAAGTTCGTGCGGAGTTTCAATAGATGGAGTTATAAGCGTCGTAAAGTGTTGTCATTAATACTTCCATCTACATATTATATAACGTTGGAAAGGTGATGTCTTCAGCTGTTATTAAAAAAAAATCATTTGTTTTCATACAAACTGCTTCGAGAAATATCACTTTAAAAATGAGTATCGATAAGGTGCATTTACGGCATGTTATGCTTTACGAGTTTCGGAAGGGAATAAACGTTGCCGCAGCCGTAAAAAACATTCAGGATGTTTATCAGGATGAAGCACCAGCTAAACGAACTGTGGAAAAATGGTTTGCTAAATTTCGGCGCGGAGAATTTAACCTTGAAGACGAGCCACACTCTGGTCGACCTTCTGACATTGATGACGATGTTTTGCGTACTTTAGTGCTCAATAATCCGCGAATTTCAACAGAAGAAGTTGCTACAGCACTAAACGTTGACCGATCAACCGCTTTTCGGCGTTTAAAAAAGATGGGATTCGATTTGAAGCTCGATATATGGGTGTCCCATTTGCTGACCGAGAAGAACAAAATCAAGCGAATTTCTGCAGCCGTTTCTTTACTCGGGCGGCTCAATAACGAGTCGTTTTTGGATCGACTAGTGACGGGCGATGAGAAATGGGTCCTCTACAACAATGTTCAGCGCAAACGGACATGGAAACAATCAGGTGAGCATGGTGACGAAATGCCAAAGGCCAGTTTGCACCCGATGAAGGTGATGCTCTCTGTTTGGTGGGATTGCAAGGGCATAATCTATTTCGAGCTTCTCCCCGCTGGCGAAACGATTGATTCGGACAAGTACTGTCGCCAATTAACCAATCTGAATCGAGAAATAAAAGAGAAACGTCCGATTTTGTCAAATCGCAAGGGAGTCGTATTTCATCACGACAACGCCAGACCACACGTTTCGAAAAAGACGCTGCGCAAACTGAAGAGCCTGAAATGGGATGTCTTAACGCATCCACCGTATTCTCCTGATATCGCACCATCTGATTATCACTTGTTCCGGTCATTGCAAAATTATTTAAATGGAAAAAACTTTGACTCTTTGGAGGCCTTAAAAAACGGCGTCTCTTCGTTCTTCGAATCTAAACCGCGCAATTTTTATGATCGAGGCATCTGTATGCTGCCAGAACGTTGGGAAAAGATTATAGAAAACGATGGAGAATATATCATTGATTGAATAAAGATTTTTGTTTGCCTAATCACTGTGTGACATTTACTCACAAACTCCGCACGAACTTTTGCACTCACCCAATAGATATACTCAAATATATAAAATATTCATAAGCGACGTAATTTTAAGAGAAAGTTTCAAACAAAAGTTGTAAGATTTATAAAGACATTCAATGACAAATACCGAAGGTTACATTTTTTAATTTTAAGTTAATTTTAATTGAAATTTGAATTTAAATGTTCATATCTCCGCTTCTACTGGGAATTGAGAGTCGAAATTTATGGTGAGAATAGGGTTGATACAGGACTATATTGAGGCAAAACCGCGTTCCTGTATCTTGAGCCGTTTAGGAGATACCGAAGGTTACATTTTTAAATTTTAAATTAATTTTAATTGAAATTTGAATTTAAATGTTCATATCTCCGCTCTACTGGGAATTGAGAGTCGAAATTTATGGTGAGAATAGGGTTGATACAGGACTATATTGAGGCAAAAGCGCGTTCCTGTATCTTGAGCCGTTTAGGAGATACCGAAGGTTACATTTTTAATTTTAAGTTAATTTTAATTGAAATTTGAATTTAAATGTTCATATCTCCGCTTCTGCTGGGAATTGAGAGTCGAGATTTATGGTGAGAATAGGGTTGTACAGGACTATATTGAGGCAAAAGCGCGTTCCTGTATCTTGAGCCGTTTAGGAGATACCGAAGGTTACATTTTTAAATTTTAAGTTAATTTTAATTGAAATTTGAATTTAAATGTTCATATCTCCGCTTCTACTGGGAATTGAGAGTCGAAATTTATGGTGAGAATAGGGTTGATACAGGACTATATTGAGGCAAAAGCGCGTTCCTGTATCTTGAGCCGTTTAGGAGATACCGAAGGTTACATTTTTAATTTTAAGTTAATTTTAATTGAAATTTGAATTTAAATGTTCATATCTCCGCTTCTACTGGGAATTGAGAGTCGAGATTTATGGTGAGAATAGGGTTGATACAGGACTATATTGAGGCAAAAGCGCGTTCCTGTATCTTGAGCCGTTTAGGAGATACCGAAGGTTACATTTTTAAATTTTAAGTTAATTTTAATTGAAATTTGAATTTAAATGTTCATATCTCCGCTTCTACTGGGAATTGAGAGTCGAGATTTATGGTGAGAATAGGGTTGATACAGGACTATATTGAGGCAAAAGCGCGTTCCTGTATCTTGAGCCGTTTAGGAGATACCGAAGGTTACATTTTTAATTTTAAGTTAATTTTAATTGAAATTTGAATTTAAATGTTCATATCTCCGCTTCTACTGGGAATTGAGAGTCGAATTTATGGTGAGAATAGGGTTGATACAGGACTATATTGAGCAAAAGCGCGTTCCTGTATCTTGAGCCATTTAGGAGATACCGAAGGTTACATTTTTAAATTTTAAGTTAATTTTAATTGAAATTTGAATTTAAATGTTCATATCTCCGCTTCTACTGGGAATTGAGAGTCGAAATTTATGGTGAGAATAGGGTTGATACAGGACTATATTGAGGCAAAAGCGCGTTCCTGTATCTTGAGCCATTTAGGAGATACCGAAGGTTACATTTTTAAATTTTAAGTTAATTTTAATTGAAATTTGAATTTAAATGTTCATATCTCCGCTTCTACTGGGAATTGAGAGTCGAGATTTATGGTGAGAATAGGGTTGATACAGGACTATATTGAGGCAAAAGCGCGTTCCTGTATCTTGAGCCGTTTAGGAGATACCGAAGGTTACATTTTTAAATTTTAAGTTAATTTTAATTGAAATTTGAATTTAAATGTTCATATCTCCGCTTCTACTGGGAATTGAGAGTCGAGATTTATGGTGAGAATAGGGTTGATACAGGACTATATTGAGGCAAAAGCGCGTTCCTGTATCTTGAGCCGTTTAGGAGATACCGAAGGTTACATTTTTAAATTTTAAGTTAATTTTAATTGAAATTTGAATTTAAATGTTCATATCTCCGCTTCTACTGGGAATTGAGAGTCGAGATTTATGGTGAGAATAGGGTTGATACAGGACTATATTGAGGCAAAAGCGCGTTCCTGTATCTTGAGCCGTTTAGGAGATACCGAAGGTTACATTTTTAAATTTTAAGTTAATTTTAATTGAAATTTGAATTTAAATGTTCATATCTCCGCTTCTACTGGGAATTGAGAGTCGAAATTTATGGTGAGAATAGGGTTGATACAGGACTATATTGAGGCAAAAGCGCGTTCCTGTATCTTGAGCCGTTTAGGAGATACCGAAGGTTACATTTTTAAATTTTAAGTTAATTTTAATTGAAATTTGAATTTAAATGTTCATATCTCCGCTTCTACTGGGAATTGAGAGTCGAGATTTATGGTGAGAATAGGGTTGATACAGGACTATATTGAGGCAAAAGCGCGTTCCTGTATCTTGAGCCGTTTAGGAGATACCGAAGGTTACATTTTTAAATTTTAAGTTAATTTTAATTGAAATTTGAATTTAAATGTTCATATCTCCGCTTCTACTGGGAATTGAGAGTCGAGATTTATGGTGAGAATAGGGTTGATACAGGACTATATTGAGGCAAAAGCGCGTTCCTGTATCTTGAGCCGTTTAGGAGATACCGAAGGTTACATTTTTTAATTTTAAGTTAATTTTAATTGAAATTTGAATTTAAATGTTCATATCTCCGCTTCTACTGGGAATTGAGAGTCGAGATTTATGGTGAGAATAGGGTTGATACAGGACTATATTGAGGCAAAAGCGCGTTCCTGTATCTTGAGCCGTTTAGGAGATACCGAAGGTTACATTTTTAAATTTTAAGTTAATTTTAATTGAAATTTGAATTTAAATGTTCATATCTCCGCTTCTACTGGGAATTGAGAGTCGAGATTTATGGTGAGAATAGGGTTGATACAGGACTATATTGAGGCAAAAGCGCGTTCCTGTATCTTGAGCCGTTTAGGAGATACCGAAGGTTACATTTTTAAATTTTAAGTTAATTTTAATTGAAATTTGAATTTAAATGTTCATATCTCCGCTTCTACTGGGAATTGAGAGTCGAGATTTATGGTGAGAATAGGGTTGATACAGGACTATATTGAGGCAAAAGCGCGTTCCTGTATCTTGAGCCGTTTAGGAGATACCGAAGGTTACATTTTTAAATTTTAAGTTAATTTTAATTGAAATTTGAATTTAAATGTTCATATCTCCGCTTCTACTGGGAATTGAGGTCGAAATTTATGGTGAGAATAGGGTTGATACAGGACTATATTGAGGCAAAAGCGCGTTCCTGTATCTTGAGCCGTTTAGGAGATACCGAAGGTTACATTTTTAAATTTTAAGTTAATTTTAATTGAAATTTGAATTTAAATGTTCATATCTCCGCTTCTACTGGGAATTGAGAGTCGAGATTTATGGTGAGAATAGGGTTGATACAGGACTATATTGAGGCAAAAGCGCGTTCCTGTATCTTGAGCCGTTTAGGAGATACCGAAGGTTACATTTTTAAATTTTAAGTTAATTTTAATTGAAATTTGAATTTAAATGTTCATATCTCCGCTTCTACTGGGAATTGAGAGTCGAGATTTATGGTGAGAATAGGGTTGATACAGGACTATATTGAGGCAAAAGCGCGTTCCTGTATCTTGAGCCGTTTAGGAGATACCGAAAGTTACATTTTTAAATTTTAAGTTAATTTTAATTGAAATTTGAATTTAAATGTTCATATCTCCGCTTCTACTGGGAATTGAGAGTCGAGATTTATGGTGAGAATAGGGTTGATACAGGACTATATTGAGGCAAAAGCGCGTTCCTGTATCTTGAGCCGTTTAGGAGATACCGAAGGTTACATTTTTAAATTTTAAGTTAATTTTAATTGAAATTTGAATTTAAATGTTCATATCTCCGCTTCTACTGGGAATTGAGAGTCGAGATTTATGGTGAGAATAGGGTGATACAGGACTATATTGAGGCAAAAGCGCGTTCCTGTATCTTGAGCCGTTTAGGAGATACCGAAGTTACCAANTTAGGGCCGGTTGTTCCAAGTTTAAAGTAATTAGTTAATTTGTCTATTTTTATTCCTTCCTTAAATTAGACAGACAAATTATGATTAAACTATTATTTAACTTACCAAGAAGTTGAAACAATCGGCTCTTAAAGATATCTTCTAAAAGATATCATTTAGATATCTATTACAAATATATTGAAGATATCTTTTAAGATATCTTTCAGATGTCTATAGATATCTTTTATAAATTCTACAAAGATATCTTCCACTACATCTATTTAGATATCTTATAGACAACTTGTAGATATCTTTTAGAAATATCTTAAAGAAATCTTTCATAAGATATCTTTTAGACATCTACAAGACCTCGTTGTTTTCTGGGTATCTACAATATTGCACTGCAATGTGCAATGTCGCAATATTGCAGCAATATTGCTGCAATTGTGTGTGCTGTATGGGAAATCTCACAGAAATTGAAGAATCGCCACCTGGTTCTATCCATCTGGAAATGAATTCTTCAAAGGGGTTAGTAAATCCCTTTTTATTCGTGTACTTTAAGATAAAATATAAACCTTTTACAATAATAGATATTTTGTAATATTGTCACATATAATCACATAATCTAATGATGCCTGTAGATTTATTACATAGAGGATTACAACAAGATCCAAGACACCCAAATAATAAAGAAGGCGGTGACTTCACGCTGGAATTAGGAGAATTAGAACAATTATGTGTTAACAATGATGCAGAAATATCGTACGATGTAAGTTCCAAGAATTTTCCCCTGTATTTCAGTCGAGTCGCCTTTTCAGCTATGTAAGAGTTACAGTTTGAATGAATACAGTTTGATCTCTTCGAACGTTTCGATAATCTCTGCGAGCATCACGGATGTGAGAAGATATCTACATTGGGCGACTGCTACTATTGCGTGAGCCGATGTCCCGAGCCGAGGTCCGATCACACGAAGTGCTGCATAGAAATGGGTCTAAGTGAGTGGAATGTCATTGACACGTGGTTGGCAGATATCTTCAAATCTGGTGCTAAATTAATGCTGTGCGTTTCTCATATTAACAGCTATGATCGAAGCGATCAAACAATTCGACATCGAAAGAAGGGAAGGTGTGAACATGAGAATAGGTGTGCATACAGGCACCGTGCTCTGCGGAATCGTGGGTACGAAAAGATTCAAGTTCAATGTTTGGTCGAACGATGTGACATTGGCGAATAAACTTGAGAGCGGGAAACGGGAAAACCCGGTCGTGTACACTTGAGTGAGAATACCCTGAGATTTCTGGACGACCAGTACATCACAGAGGGAGAACTAGTCAATGGTGAGTAAATTAATTCGGAAGAAAAGCAAGCAGACCAAAATTGGAATTTTACGTGTCATGCGTTGTTGGAAATATCGCATAACAGCCTGGCAATGAGCAAAATATTGGAACTTGTTTATTCGTTTCAGGCGTTAAAACTTATTTCATCCGAGTCTGCAAATCGGACTTCATGAATCAATTTATCACGAACGTTACGTCACCGAAAAGTATCTCACCGTTGATGCAGTCACGTAGCCGTCTGGCGTCGTGCAATACTCAGGTTAAGCCACGCCATCATTATCTTCACATGGTCATCAACACGAGCAACTATCGGATGAAAGCCAATTCCTTGTCGAGTATCTTGGATTCAGAGAATGGCGGCGACACTATAGACGAAAAAGAGGATTCTAACAAGAGCCCGACGTCCACCGCTAGTTATGGCAAGAAGAAGTACGAAACGGAAGAAAGAAAGTACGAAACAAATCGTGGAAGTACTTGCAGAGGCAACGGACGACCGAGGAGATGATACCGCTGGAGATAGAGGAGGGGAGAAACATCGCCATGGGACGAGCGAAACCTGAAGTCCAGGCGTATGAGGAGTGCAATAATGGGTTTAGTATATGGTTCTCTTCATTTCCCTACTTGGCATAGTCTGTCGAGAGACTACTATCGTAGTCTCTCGACAGTCACGATTGACTTCGTCCGCAGTTTCCTCTTACCAATGGCGTCGAGATGGATCCGAATCCTGTACCTTCTACTCCTTTATTATCTGGTCAAGAACCGATTAGTCACGCTTCTTTCATATGTAGCAGGAAGGATTCCGGCATTAAAAGCAACAGCAAGCGAAGTAGTATACAACAGCAGGTACCGAAAATTGTGTATATATTTTGTACAGCTTCAACCGCAGAGTGAATTACTTGCCATAAACGTGTTTCATTTGCATTATTATACAATTCTGTTGCAGTTATTCCTAATAAACGGCATGGCCCAAGGCGATCTTTTAGGACACAGGGTCAGTGGCTATTATACTTCTAGTTGGACGTTAAATTCTACTCACGAGCCTTCGTCGCAAAAAACGTGTCCAAGCGCCCGGGGGCAGCCAAAATATGGCGTCGACCCCGGGGCTTATTTCTATGATTTGCATCGGATAAAGAGGGGCAACGGTGGAGGCCGGTATACATAGACAGCAGGTCTTAAAGGATAGCAACCTTTGACTTTGAGAGACCATCAGCTTGTACCACTAGGTACAAGTAACAATGCCTCTCTCTGTAGTTATCTAGGGAGAGGAGAATGTCGTGAGCGTGGAGCGTCAGGTAGCTCAGTGGTTTAGAGCAGTCGCCCGGCAAGCGAAAAACCCGGGTTCGATTCCCGGTCTAGCGACTACCGCGCCTCGATATTTTTCTCTCTTCGGAACGAAAATAAGATGCAGGTCCCGAACGCACGGCGTCCTGTCGCCACTTAGTACGCCCTCCTTCTTTCATGGTTTCCACCGATAGTAACGAATACATTCGACGCATGCTTTCATAAACTGCGAAAGCGATCCGATCTCCAATTGATTAGGTAATCGAATCGCTGGCAGAAGTGTTGCACAAGTGACGACAAAATCCATTAAGCCGGTCTTTCGTTTCTCTAAAGATATGTTCAAGACAACGTGAGCTCTCAACGTACTTCGTTAAGCCACCGCTGTCCAACATTACTCTTTTTTTCAAGAACAAGGAGATGGAGAAGGAGTATTGAGAGAATGTGCACAAAGCTAGCGAAGGTATTGGCGGCAATCCGCCTACCTTGGCTACTTCGAGGTTCAACATGTATTTTGATATTCTGATATCCGCTCTGGTCTACACGGTCATCACGATCTTTCTTTTCATATTACATAAAAATATAAGGAAAAAAACCCTCTTGAAAGAGAAAGAGCTTCATAATTTCCATTCTATTATGTCTATATATGAGAAGATATATTGATACATGGAAATATTCTTACATCTTGTAATCACATGCGGACATGGAAAAATATGTTTTTGAGAAGAACAAAGGAAAATATAATGGAGAAGATATGAAAAGAAGAGCAGAAACGAAGAGAAAAAAGAAAAAGAAGAGAAAAAATGTGAGGAGGAGGCAGAAGAACGTTTAGCCACTCTATGTTGGAGATCGCTGTGAAGTATCTGTTCTAAATCAACGAAAGCGAAGAGCTACAATTTTATGTTGGTTAATAAAAAATTATATCTTTATTATGTTAACAAATAGCGTGAACAATATCATTAAAACGCAAGATGATAGTAAACGTTACTTTATTTTGGTTTGGTATCTGTATTTGCATCATAAATTTCATCCTCTCCATCTCCTTCCTCTTCCATGTCCATGTTTGTATGTCCCAAAAATTCAAAATTCGCTATAACAGCTGCTTCTGTATCTAATATCATTGTTTCTGCTATAGAAGATGGCTGTTGCTGAAACAATAAGTCACATATAAATGTATAACAGAATCGTAATTATCGTAATGCAGCTTAATTCTCTTAATTAAGTTCGTATTGTTTTAAAAACATAAACATGTTTATTTATCTCTACCTTTTTCGGATGTCCCCCGGAGTATAAGACTTACATCGGATGATTTTTGTCTGTTCTGTGTTCCCTCATTTCCATTTAATGCTGGAGTATTAATTTCATCTGTATTATTATAATATGTCCCACCGCGCATATTTCATTTCTCGCCTTTCGTCGTGAGTCACTGCGCAGGCATGCTCCACAGGCGGAGCAGTGACTCTCATTCTTCTCGAGTCGGAATGCGTTCCGAAAATTGCAAAAAAACGGTCACAAACCTTTATGTCTGCGACCGTACAGCATCTTAAGATAAACTTAAGACAATCTTAGATAAATATAAAATCCGACTATGAATACCAGCCTCAAAACTATCAGCCCGGGGTAAATTTTTAAATCGGCAATGGGGCCCTGTGGGGCCCGCAGATGATTAAAGAGCGATGATAATACGAATAGTCTCAGCTAGGCTGAAAATAACAGAAACATTTATACTATACTATATTTCGGTTACCATGGCGATATAAATTACTGACGATATAAAAATAACGTATAAATATATTATTACTGTAATAAATCTGTTGCGTTGTATGAATTTTTTTTTGAACTTTTAGAATCGCGATAGTGTTTGTCGAGACAAAAAATGACACTTTGTCCGACGTTCTACGACAATAAAAAATGTGTGCAAAATTTACATCTTTTTTAAAAATGTAAACAATATCTTCTTACGGTGATCGTAGAAAATTGTAAGGTGTCATTTTCTTCGCCCCTACGAGTACTACAGAATGCAACACTAAAAGTCTACAAAAAGCGCCTGGTTTAGCTTTTCATCCTTTTAAAGGAATATGAAATTATTCAAAATCTAAACTAGGCTAAACTTTTTGTGAACTTTTAGAACTGCATTTGGTAGCGTCCATCGAGACGAAAAAAATGACACCTTGCCCGACTTTCTACGACCGCCGGAAGTGTTCGAAACTTGCAGCTACATTTTCAGAAATTTAAACAATATTTTCAGGCACTTCCCGTGTCGCAGAAAGTCGGATGAGGTGTCATTTTCTTCGTCTCTACGAGTACTATCGAATGCAATTCTAAAAGTTCACAAAAAGTGTCTGGTTTGGATTTTCATTTTTATGACTCCATAACTCATAAGCCCTAACAGCACAGATGTCCAGAGGACGTCCAGAGTACGTCTTAAGAACGTTCTGGGGACGTTTCTTCATCTTCAGGACGTCCATAGGACGTCCTCAGGAGATCATATGTTGTCTAGGAGATAAGTGAAAATCTAAACCAAGCTTTTTCTGCGAACTTTTAGAATTGCATTCAGTAGTGCTCGTCGAGGCGAAGAAAATGACACCTCACCCGATTTTCGGCGACCGCTGGAAGTGCTCGAAACTTGCAGCTACATTTTCAAAAATTTAAATAATGTTTTCAGACACTTGCCGTGAGCGTAGAAAGTTAGGTGAGGTGTCATTTTTTTCGTCTCGATGAGCATTATCGAATGCAATTCTAAAGGTCACAAGAAACGCTTGGTTTAGATTTTCATTAATTTTATGTGGTCATAGAAGTGAAAATCTAAGCCAGGCATTTTTTGTGAACTTTTAAAATTTTTAAAAACTTGTAAAATTACATTCGATAGTGCTCGTCGAGACGAAGAAAATGACATCTCACCCGACTTTCTAGGACCACCGGAAGTGCTCGAAACTTAGTGTTTCATTTTCAAAAATTTAAACAATTTAAACAAGACTTATATTATGGGCATTATCCATACGTGTAGTCACGAGGGTATCAAAACATGTAGCGTAATGTTTATAGTTTCTATTTATTTTTGATAACAATGCACTCGTCAAATGGTACAATGAATTCTGTGTTAAGCCTTGTGTCTACGATGCTAGATCTCGGTTAGATTTCTTGGATATAGTTGTCGCACCGAGTTCTCGTATCTCGGACGTATCTCAAACAAAGGTTGCGTTTCGCAATTCGCTGCCAGTACTAAAAATCTATAGTTTATCTCTAGTTTATCTCTAGTTTATCTATAGTTTATCTATAGTTTATCGTCTCGTATATTATAAGGCCTGTTCGTTTTGTCTGCACTGCTGAACTGGTGCATTAAGTTAAAGTGAGACAAACGTAGGTTTTCTCACTTCAACTTGTTGTACCAGTTCAGCAGTGCAGACAAAACGAACAAGCCTATAGCCCATATGGCACAGAAAGATTGTAGCAATCTTGTTTTGCAAGATTGTATTATTGCAACATCATTGCAAAATGTTGCTGCAATGGTGCAGCAATATTGCAGCAACGTTAAAATGTCCGCTTGCAGTAATATTGCGTTGCAATGATGCAGCAATATTGTACTGCAATACTGCAGCAATATTATACTGCAATAATACAGCAACATTCTGTTGTAACATTGCAATAACAATGTTATATAATATATATGCAATAAAGTTACAGCTATTATGCCTATATACAGGGTCATCGAAAAGTATCGGACCTCCCTAATATCTTCAGTTAGAATGCATTTTGGAGAAAATGTTCAATAGCAAAGTTGTATGGTTTCAAGCGGGGAGTAAGATGATGACCTTGACTTTGACCTTGACCATGTCCTTCAAGATCATTTCAAGATCAACCTTATTTTTTTAAATAGAACTCCCAACATTTTATTACATATTCTTATAGCTCATCTCGAGAGCTTTCCAAAACACTATAATAAAATATTTTTTCATTAAGTACTTTTTGAGTTATAAAGGTTTGAAGTTAACAATTTGTTTGGTGTGTGATTCTGGCCAGTTAAGGCAAGAGTGGTGCGTGATTCCGGCCAGTTAAGGCAAGAGTGGTGTGTGATTCCGACCAGTTAAGGCAAGAGTGGTGTGTGATTCCGGCCAGTTAAGGCAAGAGTAGTGTGATTCTGACCAGTTAAGGCGAATTTCATTCCAATTGGTCAGCTTGGGCAAAATATTCAATTGTACCAAACAATTCACAACAAATGTTCAAATTGTTGCCCTTCAACAGCCTGGTAATGTGCCAATCTGTTATAAACAGCTGAAACCGCATTCCGGAACGTTTCCGGCGGTATTAGTTCTATCTCTCGAGTTATTCTCCCTCTTAAATCATCTAAATCTTGAGCCTTGGTGGCATAAACTTTACTTTTCAAGTAACCCCACAAAAAAAAGTCAAATAGGGTCAAATCCGAAGACTGAGGTGGTCACTCAATATGACCCCTTCGCCCTATCCACCTGTCCTGAAAGACCTCATTCAAATATTGACGGACAATGACATAATGAGGTGGAGCTCCATCCTGTTGGAAATAAATTTCATCCATATTTCCACCAGCTATGTCTCGAATAGCTGGAACAATTTGTTCGCGAAGCATGACTGTGTATATTTGTGCTGTCAAATTGCCTTCAATGAAGAAAGGGCTAACTGGTCTACCATTAAGAATACCAGCCCATACGTTAACTTTTTGTGGATATTGGGTATGATTGTCTCTTTTCCAGTGAGGATTAACGTCACTCCAGTATCTACAATTGTGTCTATTTACATTTCCAGTCAGTTCAAATGTTGCCTCATCAGAGAAAACAATATTATTAAGTAATAAAGGATCGTCGATCATCTCCATCATAAGATCACAAAATTCGATACGTCTATCAAAAT